TCTTCAGAACATTAGATTCATCCGCGCTGGAGCCGTGCCGACTCACAACCCACGCAAGGAAGATAATTCCGCACACAGCTGCAATTGCAGGTTTTCAAACAGAGATGGCGACAAAGAGGTAAAACCTACGGACTGCAGCTTTAAAAAAACATCTTAAAATCCATTTTCCCACAATTAACAGTAACAGATAAATTTAAAAAAATTGTTTAAAAGGTTTTAACAAAGATGTGAATATCATGTGAGGTATCTGCCATCTCCATACTATATTATGGTGTGTTTGTCAAATGAAGAAGGCACAATCCTGCCACATTGCAAAAATGATTCGGAATGGTTTGAGGAACATGACAAAGAGTTCAAAGTGTTGCCTTGGACTCCAATGTCCAAATTCCCCAGATGTTGACCCACATAAAATGTTGTCCCTGCCTCATGAATTCTAAAAAAGGTACAAAGCTGTCACACTTTTGTACATTATCTTAAAATCCATTTTCCCACAATTAACAGTAACAGATCAATTTTAAAAAATTGTTTAAAAGGTTTTAACAAAGATGTGAATATCATGTGAGGTATCTGCCATCTCCATACTATATTATGGTGTGTTTGCCAAATGAAGAAGGCACAATCCTGCCACATTGCAAAAATGATTCGGAATGGTTTGAGGAACATGACAAAGAGTTCAAAGTGTTGCCTTGGACTCCAATGTCCAAATTCCCCAGATGTTGACCCACATAAAATGTTGTCCCTGCCTCATGAATTCTAAAAAAGGTACAAAGCTGTCACACTTTTGTACATTATTTACCCCTAAAGGGTGCATATTAGGACCCTAAAGGTACATATTGTTACCTAAAGCAGGGGTGTCTAAAACTCAGTCCTGAAAGGCCACTGTCTGCAGAGTTAAACTCCATCTTACTTCAGCATACCTGTCTCGAAGTCTCTAGTATTCCTAGTAAGATCTTAATTGAATGGTTTAGGTGTTTAATTGTGGTTGGAGCTAAGCTCTGAAGGGCAGTGGCCCTCCAGGACTGAGTTTGGACAGCCCTGTTAGTACCTAAATGGCACAAATAACAAGTACCTTAAAGGTACTGCTCCAGTGACAGATTGTTACCTCTTTTTTTTCTGAGAGTGTAGCAAAGACTCTGCATACATAAACATTTATAATACAATACCACTGTACAAACATGCTAAACAAAATAATTAAATGAACAGATGTAATAAAAATATAAAATAACCAATACAGATGATCTTGTGTACAATATGTATGATATTTCTAGGATTGTTAATCTTTTACACATTTAAATCTACTAACATCAATTTACTGTAAGATTATGCCACATTGTCTTCTGACATCATTTTAAATGATGAATGATGTGGGGGAAAAAAACTGTTGTCTATGTGTGTTTTTGGTTTTGCTGAGGAGTCTTCTGGTTTTGCTGGTCAAGGTTCTGGTTTTGCTGAGGAGGGCTCTGATTTGGCTGAGGCAAGTTCTGGTTTTGCTGAGGAAAGTTCTGATTTGCCTAAGGCAAGTCCTGGTTTTGGTGAGGAGGGCTCTGATTTGGCTGAGGCAAGTTCTGATTTGGTAGAGAAGGGTTCTGATTTGGTAGAGGTAAGTTCTGGTTTTGGTGAGGAGGATTCTGATTTGGCTGAGGAGGGCTCTTGTTTTGCTGAGGAGGGTGCTGATTTGCCTGAGGCAAGTCCTGGTTTTGGTGAGGAGGATTCTGATTTGGCTCAGGTGGACTCTGATTTTGCAGAGAAGGGTTCTGATTGTGGCTGAGGCAAGTTCTGGTTTTGAGTTAGCTCATTCAGTAATTCAGTGTCTTCTTCCCTGATTAAGTCATTCATTGTTTTTGACAACCTATACCAGTCCAAATCACCCTTTCTTGGTTCATTAGGAGGATTCTGATTTGGCTGAGGAGGGCTCTGATTTTGCAGAGAAGAGTTCTGATTTGGCTGAGGCAAGCTCTGATTTGGTAGAGAAGGGTTCTGATTTGGCAGAGGTAAGTTCTTGTTTTGCTGAGGAGGGTGCTGATTTGCCTGAGGCAAGTCCTGGTTTTGGTGAGGAGGGTTCTGATTTGGCTCAGGTGGACTCTGATTTTGCAGAGAAGGGTTCTGATTGTGGCTGAGGCAAGTTCTGGTTTTGAGTTAGCTCATTCAGTAATTCAGTGTCTTCTTCCCTGATTAAGTCATTCATTGTTTTTGACAACCTATACCAGTCCAAATCACCCTTTCTTGGTTCATTTAAAATATCCTTGATTTTTCTTCTAGTATAGACAAAACAATATACTTGCATAAATATAGTATATGTATATGAATAGTATATACAATATATGAACAAATAAATGGCTGTCATAGGGAGAAGATTGAGACTATTCATGGAAACCCTGTCGACGCCCCTGATTATGGATTTCTTAAATCATCTTCCAAACTAATACTAGCATATTTTTTCTATATTTGTTCAGTGTTATGATAAAGTCACTCTGGGAGACACTAACGCAAAGTAAATAGAGATGCAGATTTTTAATTGAAGAGTTGAACAAGGATGTTCAAGATGGGGCAGATTTGTATTGAAGCAGGTTGTCACATGCAACTATTTAAATAATGTGTTTTCATATGATATATTAATTTAAAAAAAGTTAAAACAATAGTTTCATATTTTGATACATTTTAAATTACATATATTTTGGCAATATAATTGGCCTACTGTTTAAATGTAATTGCCTATTTTTTAAGCCTAAACAACAAATGGCAAGCTTACTGTGTTGGCGAGGAATGATGGAGACGAGGAATAGCGAACACAGTCTTTAATACAATCCAAACACAGGGTACATCCACACTGGAAATGGCAGGAAGCACACGAACATAACGAGTAGACCCAACAACACTGAATGCAAAGGCAGAGACTTAAATACAAAGGATAAAGGGGAAACACAGGTGACATCAACGGATATCCAGGAGGAGGACAACAGGCAGAGTCCATGGGGGTGACGAAGGAGGGAGGAGCCAGGCGTGACCCAGGCCGCAGCCATGATGACAGCCCACGGTGGAGCCGACGGAGGGGGGAGCCATGGAGGAGGAATGGCTGCTGACTCGAGGGGGCTGACCAACGGCGGCGGAGCAGGTGGTGGAAGAGCCCGAGGCGGAGACGGAGAGCCAACGAGCCAGGGGGATGCCGAGGATCCGGGGGGCCAGGGTGGAGCCGAGGGCTCTGGCGACCGAGGCGGAGATCCGTGGCGGAGCCGGAGCGACTGAGGACCAAGGTGGAGCTGGCGGGAGGGAGGAGCCCAACGGAGCCGGTGGGACAGAGCGACGAGGTGAAACCAGAGGAGTCCAGAGGCGATGGCGGGTAGACGCCCGACCAAGGCGGAGCCAGAGGGACGGGGGAAGCCCGGTGGAGCTGGTGAAGGGCTCGACAATAAGCTTTGACATGTGCTTTGTGTAAATCAGTCATTCACTTATCCGAGTAAAAAAGTTACTTGTCCGGGGGCAAAAAAGGTGGTTCTTTTTTTTTTTTGGCGCAAATTTATTCTGAAGCAATAGTCTCATCAGTGCTCTATCAGGTAGTACTTTAATCAGCATATTTGTGATATTTGCCTTAAATTGATTGCTGTTACACATTTTAACTTTATGAAGAACAATATTTTCCTAACCTGATTAAATGTACGTCACCATTTATGTCAAATTCTTAAATTTGATCAATACATTAAATTAGAATAATAAGACATATATGGTTGTTACTATTCAAATGAAATCAGTATCAACAAACTCCATCTTTCCACTGCAGAGGAAACACAGAAGCTGCATCGAAAGTGCCATTTAGATGTATTTACTCAAGACTGTTTAATGAAGATAAGAGGTTCCATAAATGTATTTACTCAAAATTGCAAATGCATAAATAATGTTATTAGATTAATGTTTAACTTTTTTGACATACAAATATTAAATGTTGGAAAAATGCAATGATACTTTTAAATATGAAATAAAACCACCAGTAGGTGGTGGCAAGTCACTGTCTTAATGAGTGAATCATTGATTCAACCGATTCGTTCAAACGGCTGATTCATTCAATAAATTAAGCAAGTGTCTGAAATGTAAGTCAGTTAATATTCTTTGTTTATTGAACTAAAGTTGCATAAAATCAATATCACATTTGCAATCGTGCTGAAAGTCGGGAAAACATCACTCTTGGTCGTGTGATGTTGCATATATTATATAGAATATTTATATTTTTTTCTACCGCAGTATGTTTGTTTCTTTGTGTGTGCTGTTGCGCTTATAGTTTTGATTTCTCCGCGAGTCAGACAGACTGCACGAGCCTTAACTGACGCGACCTTGATTCGTGAGCCTCCAGGCTCTCAGGGCTGCCCTCGGAGATCAGAGCCCACTCCTGGCTGGACTCAGGAACAGAGTCTCTCTCTCGGCTGGACTGGGAAACAGGAGCCCACTCTGGGTAGGACGTGGGGACAGGAGACGAAGGAGGGCTGGATGGGACCAGCGGGGATGAAGGAGAGAAGAGAGGGGGCAAGTCGACTTCCAGCTCTGTTTCCCAGTCTATAAGGTCCCCATCGAAGTCCAGCAAACCCAGATTTATGATCAGCTCACCCTCAGCCGCGGTGCAGGGGGCGGAGCTCCACTCCGCACTCACACTGTCCACAGCTTGCTCCCTCGTGGCGAGCACGATCACCGGCTCTCGCACCTGGGGCCTCATTTATAATCGTTGTGTACGCACAAAACCTGCCCTGAAAGAGGCGTACGCCACTTCCTACGCAAAAGGTGGGATTTATAAAAACAAACTTGACGGGAAAATGTGCGCACCTGCACACAAACTCTGACCCATGCGTACAATTTTGTTTTTCCTGCAAGAAAAGTAATGAAGTAAATAATTATTTTAAACTCTGTTTTCATGTCGATATACACATTTACATTAAATATTCCACTCTCATTAATGGAGATAAGCACTGATATTAGCTACATAAAGTCACTACACAGAAGTCAAAACAAAATTATATTAATTTAGACATAGCCTCTTTGTAGAGGATGCGCTTGATCACTTTTCCTGTGGCATGCTATGTTTTAAAGGGGTCATATGATGCGATTTCAAGTTTTCCTTTCTCTTTGGAGTGGTACAAGCTGTTTGTTAATAGATAAGATCCCTAAAGTTGCAAAGACTAAAGTCTCAAACCCAAAGAGATATGCTTTATAAAAGTTAAGACTCGACCACGCCCTCCTAAAACGGCTCATTTAAACACGCCCCCCACATGTCTATGTCACGATGTGGGAAGATTTGCATAACACAGCCCAAATGTTTACTGGTAGCATAATTCGGAAGCAAAATACTTTATTAACATGTACACTAGTGCTGCACAATTAATCGTATCGCAATC